TCTCTTCAGTTTCTTTCTTCTCATCCGCTGGTTTCATCTTCTCATCAGCCTCATCTCGTGGCTTCTTCTGTGCAGCTTCTTGCTTCTTGTCTTTAGCTACTTCCTTCTCACTCAAAGGCTTCATCGTTTTAGCAGCCTCATCTCTGGTCTTTTCCTCTTCAGCTTTGTCCTTCACCATGGCTGGCTGCATCCCCTCATGAGTTTTGCCGCTGCTCAGCTCCATGTATGGGTCTTCTTTGACATGAACCTTTCGGACAGCGTTTGCAGCTTTCCTTTTCCGCCAGATCTCATCATCAATTTGCTTCGACAGCTTCCTATTAGCTTCCGCTTGCATCTTCTGAGTGTATGAGTTCTGGAGCACCTGAAATGGAACACTGAAGCCAGGCCGGGGGTTCAAAGACAAAGCATTTTGAAGCAGAGCGCTGTCATTCTCCCGATTCTCCAAAAGTGAATCCTCCAGGGTAATTGTCAACAAGAGGTTTGACTTGAAATGGAACCATATGGTGATATGACATGGTTTTAAAGTACTTCAGGGGATATGTTCAGGGATAACTGCACTATCTACTTGACCCGCAAAACAAACAATTATAAACAATTACAATAACAAGACCATGGTCCTTGGAACTCTCGAAGCGGCTCCGGCATGGGCTTGCTACCGGGATGTGCTGCAAAGGATTGTACATGGTGTCCTTGGCAAAAAATCAGTGCACGGAAAGTTAGATGCTTGCACCAATTCCAAAGTGTTTTCCTGCAATCACTAACATATGTTTGTTGAGGTTGGGTAGAACATGTTATTTTTAGACTTGCACGGTGCATGGGGTGACCTCATTGGAACTTCCCAGGTCCCAGGTTCTTTCCGGCGATGCCGGTGAGGCACAGGCTGGCCCAAGACAAGGGTCGTCTCAGAGTCCCAGGATTCCATGTCATCCTGCCAAGCGCAGGAAGAGCTTAGATTTTTCTTGAAACAATTCAAAGATATTGTTTATGTACTAAGTACCCAAAGCAACAAAACATCTATATGGGTATTGAACAAAAACCATCACCAGTACCACAACAGTGAGCTGCAAAGATCTTTGAAATATATAACTGACATCCTGTCCTCGCTATCTCTCCCAGTGTTTTTGTTTTTTGCTTCAGCCAAATCTGCAATGTCTTGCAGAGACAGCTTGTTGACAGCCTTCTGAAGCTCTGACATCTCTCCCTCTTCCGGTTCATCATCCATAGCCTCCTCAGAGTCTCCATTGTCTGCTGTCTTCTTCTTGCCAGTCTTGTTCTTGCTGCCCTTCTCATTCTTTGCCTCTTTCTTTGTGGTCGGTCTCACATTGGAAGCTGGCTTCTTTGTAGCTGTCTTCTTGCTCTTGCTGTCTGCTTCTTGCAAATCGTCTCCATCATCTTCATCCTCATCGCCCTCCTCTATGGACTGGAAGACTGCATCTGCAGAATCACCATCTGTCGGTTTCTTTTTCTTCTTCTCATCCTGCTCCTTGTCCTTCTTCTTTCCACCTTTAGAGTCTTTCTCCTTCTCTTTCTTTGACTTTTTCTCATCCTCTTTCTTTGGCTTCTTCTCATCCTCTTTCTTTGGCTTCTTCTGCTCATCTTCTTTCTTTGTTTTTTTTCTCTTTTTCATTCTTCTCCTTTTCCTTCTCGTTCTCCCCAGGGGACTCGGAAGAGCTCGGCAATGCCACCCGTCCAAACCCAGCAGTCCCACGTGAACCTAGATCTTGTCAAGGGGTGTCCAGAAAACAAGGCACCAAAGGAACAAGAACTTACCAACCTGAAATGCAGAAACTCAAAATGTTGCCAAGCAAAACAGTCAGTCAATTAGTTGAAACTGGGAAGGGACACACTACATGTTGAAATGTGCACTTAAAAGCTCCAAGTCACTTGCAGCAGTCGCTGGTTCCTGCTGAGAAGACCGTCCAGTAGCTGAGTTTAGCCCTAGCACATCCGAGTAGTCAGCGACAGAGAACTTCCTTTCAATTCTCACATTGCCAGCAGCTCCACATACACTATCATCAATCTCTGACTCTGATTCAGAGACATGCACAGGCGAAGCCATGGATACCACAAGTGGGTCCAAGTGGTCACAGCAGTTGGTTCCAAACAGCTAGGTGTACTTTGAACCTCAAACCTGTCACACTTGGAACCATGGATTTGGCTCTACTTTCATGGCTGGTTTGCTCGATTTATGGGCGCAATGGGTCCAATGTATTTGTTTGACCTTTGTCAAAGCACACATGCCAAGAAAATTGCAAGCACTCACGCACACTGCGGGGCACTGACATGTCTATCAGTGATGTTGATGCAGTGTGGGGCGCATGCAAATCCAAACCCCAATCACCAGTTGCCAGCATATCTCCAGGAAAATATGAACTCAGATTAGAGTTGGCTCGGGTACAGTGCAGTACTTTGGTTTTGTTTCTTAATGGTAACATTACTCTTGAATCGCTATGAGTTTTATCTTAAAATATAAAGCATTTAATGAACTATACTCTACCAGTTGGAAGGGAATGAACCCTGGAACTATGCATGGCCCCTGCACCACTCTCACATCAGGCGGTAGAGCTTGTCAGCCTCGCATGACATCGACCCAGGAATAATTGCCACTGGTCGAATGGGCGCAATCTCCTTTCCACCCTCGCCACTGGATTGCAACCTGAGCATGGCTTGGGGGGCTTGGTGATGACATCGCATGATGTGCCAAATCTGGCATATCTAACCATTATGGGTTTTCTTTTTCTAGCCATTATGGGTTCTTTGTGTCAGTCATGTCATGCAAAGATTCAAAACACAAAAGCTACTTCATAAGAATGGCCCCGTCCATTGGATCAATTAGCAGGTTAGTTATCACCAATGAGGTCATCAATGAGATGCCTGGTATAGTCCAGATTCTGAAAGCCCCACCCCAAATCAATGGCTCCGTTGCTGCATCAACTTGTCAAGTTGAATCCGATGGCGAAACAATGGGGAAACATAAAAGCTTCCAAACCAAGCAAAGAACTTCACCCTCCAACAGATTTTGAAGTTGGTAGAGCTGCGTACCTTTGCCATGTTGAGCCTCGCTCCAAAAGTAGGAACAGAGCCCACCTGTGAAGGGTTTGTGAAGGGTTGGTGGCCTCCAAGGAAAACCAATCACTGGAATAATCAATTA